TCAAAACAAGGGGCCTCCTTTAATGTAACAGAGTCGGAAGGGACCTTGGAGGTCATCTAGTCCAACCCCCTGCTCACACAGGAGACCTGTACTAGGGATTCGAACCGCCGAACTGCCGACTTTTCTGATCGACAAGCTGAGTGTCTTGGCCACTGAGCCGCCTAATCAGGCTCCGGATTAAATGATGCCCACCAGGGACGGCACCAGGAGGTCCCTCCAGAAGGCACCCAAGTCTCTTTTCCGTCTTCTCCATCTCTAAATGAGCTGCCATAATCCTGGACAATCCTGGTCTTCTGCAACTACAAAGCCCAACAGCTTCGGTTCCGGGCCGGGTCTTCTCATTCCTTAGCCCCCCACTTCACTGATTTAAGCCTCTGTTGGCTGCTTCTAGCCCAGCCTCGGGGATTCAGGGGGGTAGACTGTGCTGGTCCAAGGGGTCTATTCACAATGAAGCTGCCTCTAGCCCAGCTTCAGGGGCTCAAGGGTAGACTGCACTCATCCAAGGGGCTCTATTCATAATGAGGCTGCCTCTAGTCCGGTTTTGGGAACTCAGGGGTAGACTGCGCTGGTCTAAGAAGCTCTATTCACAATTGAAGCTGCCTCTAGCCCGGTTTTGGGGGCTCAAGGGTAGAGTGCGCTGAACCAAGAAGCTCTATTCACAGTGAAGCTGCCTCTAGTCCAGCTTTGGGGGTTCAGGTGTAGACTGCGCTGATCCAATGGGCTCTATTTATAATGAGGCTGTCTCTAGCCCAGCCTCTGGGGTAGACTGCACTGGTCCAAGGGGCTCTATTCATAATGAGGCTGCCTCTAGTCCGGTTTTGGGGACTCAGGGGTAGACTGCACTGGTCTAAGCAGCTCTATTCACAATTGAAGCTGCCTCTAGCCCGGTTTTGGGGGCTCAAGGGTAGAGTGTGCTGAACCAAGAAGCTCTATTCACAATGAAGCTGTCTCTAGTCCGGCTTCGGGACTCAGGTGTAGACTGTGCTAATCCAAGGGGCTCTATTCCTTATGAGGCTGTTTCTAGCCCGGCCTCTGGGGTAGACTGCACTGGTCCAAGGGGCTCTATTCACAATGAAGCTGCCTCTAGCCCAGCTTTGGGGGCTCAAGGGTAGACTGCACTCATCCAAGGGCTCTATTCACAATTGAAGCTGCCTCTAGCCCGTTTTGGGGGCTCAGGTGTAGACTGCGCTGATCCAATGGGCTCTATTCATAATGAGACTGTCTCTAGCCCAGCCTCTGGGTAAACTGCACTGGTCCAAGGGGCTCTATTCACAATGAGCTGCCTCTAGCCCAGTTTCAGGGACTCAGGTGTAGACTGTGCTGATCCAAGGGGCTCTATTCCTTATGAGGCTGTTTCAGCCTGGCCTCTGTAGACTGCATTGGTCCAAGGGGCTCTATTCACAATGAGGCTGCCTCTAGCCGGGCTTCGGATACTCAGGGGTAGACTGCACTGGTCCAAGGGGCTCTATTCACAATGAAGCTGCCTCTAGCCGGGCTTTGGTGGCTCAGGGGTAGACTGCGCTGATCCAAGGGGCTCCATTCACACATTCTCTTACTCAATTCCTTGCCCGCGTGTTATCTCCTCCTTCCACCTTCGCTTTGCCCTTCGCAGCCCAGGGAGTGAGATTCCACCCCCAGCCTCGGGGTCCCGCTCTTCTGCCTGGCGCCGGCAGCCCCATCATCCGCAGCCGCTTTAATTACCGCTCGCGCGGCCGGAACGAGAGGCGGCTGGCGGGAGAGCCCGTTTAATCCTTCCGCTGCCTCGGCGCCTGAGCCGCGAGCCCGGGGGCTTGCAATTCCCCCTCCCCCAACCCAAAAAATCTAGGTCGAGGTGCAAACTCAGCTCGTGTGCATTTACTCGGCGGCGGCTATTTTATATATATATATAAAGCAAAGTGCTTTTTATATATAAAAAGCACTTTGCATATATATATGTATATGCACACGAGCTGAGTTTGCACCTCGATATATTTTGCAGCTAAACCATGAATATTAACAGATTAACAGTTAGAAGGGACCTTGTAGGTCATCTAGTCCAACCCTCCGCCCAGGCATGAATAAGAGGGGCTTTATCTGTGGGCGTGGCCTGTTGGCTGTGGCAGGGGAAGGATGCTGCAGAATCCCCATTCCCTCCCCACTCCTGGGGCAAGGATACTGCAAAATCCCCATTCCCACCCCATTCCTGGGGGAAGGATGCTGCAAAATCCCCATTCCCTCCCCACTCCTGGGGGAAGGATACTGCAAAATCTCCATTCCCACCCCATTCCTGGGGGAAGGATACTTACAAAATCTCCATTCCCTCCCCGCTCCAGGGAAAGGATACTGCAAAATCTCCATTCCCTCCCCGCTCCAGGGAAAGGATACTGCACATTCCCTCCCCACTCCTGGGGGAAGGATACTGTAAAATCTCCATTCCCTCCCTACTCCTGGGGGAAGGATACTGCAAAATCCCCATTCCCTCCCCACTCCTGGGGAAGGATACTGTAAAATCTCCATTCCCTCCCCACTCCAGGGAAAGATACTGCAAAATCCCCATTCCCTCCCCACTCCTGGGGGAAGGATACTGTAAAATCTCCTTCCCTCCCTACTCCTGGGGGAAGGATACTGCAAAATCCCCATTCCCACCCCACTCTGGGACCAGCCAGAGGTGGCATTTGCTGGTTCTCTGAACTACTCAAAATTTCCGCTACGGGTTCGCCAGAACCTGCTGAATAGCACCCCTAACTCCAACCCACACAACACTCTTGCACCTACTCCTAACCTACACACCCCCATGGGGCCTTCCTGACCAGTGCCATACCTCTCACGCACCCCCTCGTTCCCTCCCCCACCCAGCCACTGGGATCCTCTCCTCAAAGTCACTTTCAACCTAAGCAACTTTAAGACGTAAGGACTCCCAACTCCCAGAATTTCTCTAGCCAGCATGCTGGTTCCCACATCTTAAGGTTGCTGAGATTGGAGAACGCTGCTCCTCCGTTGGTTTTAAGCCCTTGGAAGAGGCTCCTCTCTGCAGCCTTGAAAGCAGAGGACGGGGATGAGAGACGGGGAAGGGCTTGGCTTCCCTCCAGCAAAGGGTAACGCTTAGGCAGGGCTGTCTTTCCCATAAACCTGGTTTGTTGGGAGGAGCATTTTTGCTCATGAAAGTGCAGTAAAGAAGCAGCTGGAGAGAAGAACAGGACCAGACAGCCAGTTGCAAAAGGAAGGAAAGCATCGCACAGCAAGCCAGGCCCCGTGTGTGTGTGCGCGCGCACGCGTGTGTGTGTACAGAGAACTCCTAACTTGGAGCTGCTGTGTGTCTCTTTTCTATAAACAGCCCCAACAGGATAGCAAATCCCTTCTGGCAACTGCCTTGGTGGCGCAGCAGACTAAAGTGCTGTTAAGTAGCACCAGCTGCCTGCAATTACTGCGAGTTCAAATCTCACCAAGGCTCAAGGTTGACTCAGCCTTCCATCCTTCCGAGGTAGGTAAAATGAGGACCCGGTTTGTGGGGGCAATAAGCTGACTTTGTACAAAAAAGAACACTGCTTAAGGGGGGCCAAAAGCCCTACTAAGCAGGTATATACAAAAGTACGAAGGCTATTGCTTAATGCATTGTAAGCCGCCCTGAGTCTCCGGAGAAGGGCGGCAGAGCCTGAGTGGCGCAGCAGACTAATGCTACTGTTAAAGGTAGTATTTAGCTTCCAGCTGCCTGCAATTACTGTGAGTTCAATTTTCACCAGGCTCAAGGTTGACTCAGCCTTCCATCCTTTCTAAGGTAGGTAAATTGAGGACCCAGTTTGTGGGGGCAATAAGCGGACTTTGTATAAAATATACAAAAGTATGAAGGCTATTGCTTAACGCATTGTAAGCCGCCCTGAGTCTCCGGAGAAGGGCAGCATATAAATCAAAAAATTAAATAAATAAATAAATATCAATTGAACCAATAAATCAACTATCATCCCAGAGAGGAAATGGAGGCAGCGGCTGCTACTATCTTCTTAAGAGGCTGAGTTTTCTCCAGGGCAGCCAAACCATTGAGGTCTCCCGCTTTGGGCAATTAGTCTCTCTGCCGGGCCATTCCGAGTTTGCCGATTTATGGCAGGATGCGATAATCCCGATTTATGGCAGGATGCGAAACCCGCACCCGGAGTGTGTGTGTGTGAGATGCCCACGTCACAAACCAGGTTGCAGGTGCAACGGCGACTTGTTTTTTTTTAAATTTTAACTTTTAATCCCTGCTGCCTGGGCCTTTGTCTCTCCCCCCCCCCCCCCGTGCCCCCCCCTCCCCCCAGGATCTGATGCCTCTCTAGTAGGCTACCCCGAGGCTCTGCCCAAAATTGTCACTGAACTGTAAAATTTCGTGTGGCCGAAGGGAAGTGGCTGAGCATCTCTTTTCAGTTTAAGATTAGATTAGATTAACAAAGTTGGAAGGGACCTTGGAGGTCATCTAGTCCAAACCCCCACCCAAGCAGGAGACCCTACTCCATTCCTGACAGATGGCAGTCCAGTCTCTTCTTGAAAGCCTCCAGTGATGAAGCTCCCACAATATCTGAAGGCAACTTCTGTTCCATCGGTTGATTGTTCTCGCTGTCAGAAAATTCCTCCTCATTTCCAGGTTGAATCTCTCCTTGATCAATTTCCATCCATTATTCCTTGTCTGGCCTTCAGGTGCCTTGGAGAATAGCTTGACTCCCTCCTCTCTGGGGCAGCCCCTCAAATATTGGAAGACTGCTCTCCTGTCTCCCCTGGTCCTTCTCTTCACTAGACTAGCCAGGCCCAGTTCCTGCAACCGTTCTTCGTATGTTTTATCCTCCAGTCCCCTAATCATCCTGGTTGCTCTTCTCTGCACTTAACTCCCTGTACTCTTGATTTCTCCTGGCAATTTCTCCGTGGAGGACCAACTTGAGTTGATGGTGCATCTAGCATCTCCCCTCTGCACCTACCGAGAATCCTGCATCCTTGAAAGGCCACCACAGACTCTCCCAACAGCGCCAGAAAAAAGCCAGGAAGAGAGAAATCTGTTATCCATCAAAAAAGGACATTTTATTTTAACCTCTTCTTGGGCACAAGGAGGGCCCTTATTCCTTCCTGCTTTGAAAACTGGTGGGGGGGGCGCTTAAAGGCACAGGAGGGTCTAAAGAAAACAGTAAACAGTAAACGAGGTGGGAGAAATGATGCGCCTTATAAGAGACACATGGAGGAAAGGCTCGGAAAGTTTATGAGGAAGAATGGGGGTGGGTGGGAAGTGGGGGTGAACTGGGGTTTTTTATTGGTGGCTGTGAGGGGGTGGGGGGTGGTGGCGTGGTCTGCACCCCCACTTCATCCCCCTAAATCCGTTTCCGAGTTCTGTGATGCTGTTCCTTCTGGCAAAAGATCTTTTGTTCCCCGGATGTCCCATTAAACCTCATCACTCTCGGCCTAAAAGAGGAAGAAAAGGCAAGGAAAATAAAATATAAATTTTAGGAACAGACCTATGTTGACCAGGAGGTGCTAAATAAGGCAAAATATCTTCTCTTTCCACCGAGCTGGCGGTGCCACACCTGGGCCCTTCCCACTGACAGTGGGAAGCGACATCTCGCTGGCACAAACGGCGACAGTTCCCCTGAGTGCGTGCAGAGTGACTTTCTCTCCCCCCCTCCCCCGCCCCTCAGCCCCGAGCGAGCAACCCACCACCTGGGAAGTGAAAAAGCGGAGATTCCTTTCCAGGACAGATGGCAAGGCAAGAACTCCCACGCAGGAGCGCCTGGCGGGTCGCCTATTTTGAGAGATGGAACGTGGTCTCGCGCGCCTCCGCTTAACGGCTTGCCACCGTCGGTGCTGGGAAACCATATGGCACGGGGAGAGGGGATGCAAGTGGCAAGCCCTGGTGAGAAACCGGAGCCCGATCCTGGGATGCATGGGAATTGATGGGTGGGTGTGGGGAGGCGGGGGGGGGGGGGGGGGCCGGGGCGGGGGGGGGGGGGGAGTGGGGGGGGGGGGGGGGGGGGGGGGGGGGGGGGAGTTGATAGGGGCAAGGGTCCTGCAAAATTGGATCATTCTGGGGAAGAGAATCTGGAGTGACTGTGGTCACAGCCATCAGGCAGGCTTTTTTTCACTTTAATGCCGTCCTCCCCCCCTAAAATGAGGAAGGGGCTCTGTTGGAATCAGGAGAGCAGCTCTGGCCAATCTTAGTGGCCACAGAAAAGTGGAGGTGGGAGTGATCCAAGGCAGTGGTTGGTTGTCTCCGGTTCGGACCGCTTCGCAAGACCCGGTAGTAAAACTGGCAGGAGGCCCCGCCCACCACCCCGGAAGTCATCATCAGCGATCTGCACATGTGCAGAAGCTTCTGCACATGCGCGTGAACGAGCGAAGCAAGCGCGTGCGCACGATCCCGTTGCGAACCGGTGGTAAAGGTAAGTAGAACCCACCCCTGATCCAGGGGTGAAATGCTACCAGTTCGGGTGAACCAGTAGTAATAAAAGCAACCAGTTTGGGCAAACCGGTAGTAAAAAAAAAAAAAGCTACCGGTTCAGGCAAACCGGTAATTAAAAAAAGCTACAGGTTCGCCCGAACTGGTATTTCCGATGATCAGCTGTGCTGTGAAATTTACATTCGTTAGAAAGCAGGAAATCCTACTTTTTAGCGAATCTAAATCGCACAGCATAGCTTTCTCCCCCCTCGCTGTCCTACTTACCTTCTTAAGTCTCCTTTTCCCGTGCGCAGCGTGCGTTTGGCACACACGGTGCATGCGCGTTCAACGTGCATTTGGCACACACCGCGCATGAGCGGCAGCGAACCAGTGGCAAAGGGTGGAGGATTTCACCTCTGGGTGGGTCTCTTGGACATGAGAGGCTGGCAAAACGTCCAAAGTTTGGCGCTCAGCCAGGAGAGACCCTTTTCCGTTGGCAAGTTCTCCGGCCCAGGACTAGTAACCGTGAACGCAAGATGGGCAATTTTAGCAGGAGATTCCCTTCCGTTTTGTGGAAAGCCGTGCCAAGGAATCGAGGGTGCTGAGGGTGACTGAATGAATGGCATAGGACAGGGCAGTGGTGAAATGTGAAATTTCTTACTACCGGTTCTGTGGGCGTGGCTTGGTGGGTGGTGGTGGTAATGTGACTGGGTGGGCGTGGCCAACTTTTTTTTTTTAAACTTTTAAAAGCATTTTTTCTACAACCTCTTCGGCTGAAAAAAAAATTGCCTTTAAAAGCCTCTGACGATCCCAGCTGAGTTGCCTGATCGTCAGAGGCTTTTTTTTTCCTAATTTTTAAAAGCATTTTTTTCGCCCGAAGAGGTTGTAGAAAAAATGCTTTTAAAAGTTAAAAAAAAAAAAGAGCCTCTGATAATCGCGCAGCTCAGCTGGGCATGGGGGGGGGGGCAGGGATTTTTGCTACCGGTTCTCTGAACCACCCACTGCTCTCGCTACCGGATCAGGCGATCCGGTTCGAACCAGGAGGATTTCACCCATTGGACAGGGCTGTCAAACTCGATTTCATTGAGGGTTGTGTTCGACCTTGCGGGGGGTAGGGGGGAAGCTGAGTGGGCATGGCCGGGGTGGGCATGGCCAGATCGACATCCTGCAGCCCTCTGCCAGCAAAAACGGAGCTCGGGAGAGCCGTGTGTAGCCCATGCAAGCTCCGTTTTCGCTGGCGGAGGCACTGCGGGTCGGTCCTTTGCGGTTTCCGGGGTGGCCCCGTGGACCATATCTAACCACCCGCCATGAGTTTGACACCCCTGGCGTAGGAGCAGCATGGATTCTTGGAGACACCTATGCCAGCCGTCGCCTATCAACTCCCTTCTGATTCTTTCCGATCTCCGCTGACCTGGCCCAAGGTATCCAGACAGGAGACAAATGACATCACTCCCCCCCCCGGCTCCTGATGAACGGGGCAGTCACCGGTCTGAGCCCCCTTGATTAGACCCACGCCATGAAGTCATTTCCTGCTGCCTCCCCACCCCCACGATTTTCTAGGCCTTCAGATGACTTCAGGCCATGCAGAGCAGTCCATCCGGGGTGAGTAAGTTCCTGACTAATAGAGTTAGCTGGGGGAGCTTCTGTTTTCCATCAGGTTTGCATACGAGGATGTTGGCGGCAGCTCAGCTCCTCAAACAAGGCTGGCAGCCAGGCCCAGAGCGGCACACGGACTGGCTGCGCGGTGGACAAGACTAGATCCTTGTGGATGGATCCTTTCTTTCCCGAAAGGCTGATGAAGCTGTTTGGATGAGAAGCAAAACGCCGCCTAATAATTCTTCTTCTTCTTCTTCTTCTTCTTCTTCTTCTTCTTCTTCTTCTTTCTTCTTCTTCTTCTTCTTCTTCTTCTTCTTCTTCTTCTTCTTCTTCTTCTTCTTTCTTCTTCTTCTTCTTCTTCTTCTTCTTCTTCTTCTTCTTCTTCTTCCTCTTCTTCGCCTTTTTCTCTTCCTCCTTCTCCTGTTCCTCCTCCTCCTCCTTCTTCTTTCTCTTCTTCTTCGCCTCCTTTTTCTTCTCCTCTTCCTCCTTCTCCTGTTCCTCCTCCTCCTCCTCCTCCTCCTTCCTTCCTTCCTTCCTTCCTTCCTTCCTTCCTTCCTTCCTTCCTTTCGTCTTCTTCTTCCTCCTCAAATAAAAAACAGTCCAGTTGCCTTTTTGAAGAAAAAAGCACCACCTTTGAGACCCCTTTGGTGGGTGAATCTTGGGTGGGTCGGGTTTCAGATTACACGGGAGCCTTTCCTAAGAGCCTTTCGACGCCTGGGATCTCGTGAAATCCACAGCTTGCGTATCGACAGCTGCCATCAACCCAACTCTTGGCCTGAGGGGTGTCCATGGGGTGTGGTCAAAGTCAGAATGGCCAGCCATGAGGTAGCCTTTCCATATCGCTTCCTGGTCCATTCACCCACCCACCCCAAACTCCCCCTTCTTTATTGTCCATGGCAATAAATTGAAGCTGAGGTTGTTTTGTCCGTGGGGGAGTCAAAAGACATCTCTCTCCCATTTTGTGTGTGTTGGGTTGGGTTGAGGAGAGGGGGGGGGAGAGAGAAGGAGAGAAAGAGAGGGGGAGGGGTTGTCTTCCTGGCTGGCAGGCAGCACCCAAGCCCCTGCCCCAAGGAACAGAATCTACACATGGGGCGGCCAGGGGAAGCCTTCTCGGTACTTTCTACAGGAAGAGGGGGGGGAGAGTGAAAGAGAGACAGTGAGAGGGGGAGGGAGAGAGAGAGTGAGTGAGTGAGTGAGAGAGAGAAAGGGAGAGAGGGGGAGGGAGAGAGAGATAAAGAGAGAGAGAGAGTGAAAGAGAGAGAAAGGGAGGGAGAGGGGGAGGGAAAGAGATAAAGAGAGAGTGTGAGAGAGAGAGAGGGAGGGGGAATGAGAGATAAAGAAAGAGAGAAAGAGTGAGAGGGGGAGGGAGAGAGAGAGAAAGGGAGAGAGAGAAAGTGAGAGAGAGGGGGAGAGGGAGGGAGAGTGTGAGAGAGATAAAGAGAGAGAAAGTGAAAGAGAGAGAAAGGGAGGGAGGGAGAGAGAAAGAGTGAGTGGGCGAGAGAGAGAGAAAGGGAGAGGGGGTAGAGGAGGGAGAGAGAGAGAGAAAGTGAGGGGGAGGGAGAGAGAGAGAGAGAAAGGGAGAGGGAGGGGAGAGAGGGGGAGGGAGAGAGATAGAGAGAGAAAGAGAGTGAGGGGGAGGGAAAGAGATAAAGAGAGTGAGTGAGAGAGAGGGAGGGGGAGAGGGAGGGGGAATGAGAGATAAAGAGGTAGAGAGAGAGAAAGAGAGATAAAGAGAGAGAGGGAGAGGGGGAGGGAGAGAGAGAGAAATAGTGTGAGTGAGAGAGAGAAAGAGAAAGTGAGAGGGGGAGGGAGAGAGAGAGAGAGAGAGAGAGAAAGGGAGAGAGAGAGAGAGAGACGCAAAGTCACCCGGTGACTTTTTATGGCCAGCTGGGACCTGAGTACGAAAGACACCGAGATGTGACCGGCTATACGGGGATATCAGCAAAGAGAATATGGAAATCATTCTCAGACATTATTTTATTGTTTGTTTGTGGCTGTGGATTAAGGGGTTAAAAGCTTCTCGGTTTCAGTGAGGTCCTGAAAACCAGTCAAAGGCGCCCTCTTCTTCCCCCCCCCCCAGGAAAAATTAGTCCAATTATTTGGAGGAGGGTTTGTGGAGGATGTTATTATCGCTATAATTTAGTTATGGCCGGCAACCAGCTGGCAGCACAAATAATGCAAAGCTACAGGAGGAAACAATAAAACTTTTACGGCAGTCATTTGCAAAACAGCGAGTCGCAATAGGAATACGAAGGAGGAATGTAGAGGTGACCCAAAGGTGCTTTTTTTCCAAGAGGCAACTGGACTTCCTGATTTATTTATTTATTTTTCTTTTGAAGACGTTTGGCTTCTCATCCAAGAAACTTCTTGAGCTCCGGCTGGATGGTGGGGAAATGGAAGGATTTCTATTCCTTGCAGACAAGCTGGTCATTTGCATCCTTTTAGAGAGCAGTTGAGGCGACTTGGAGATTTGTCTGGGTCTTCAGTTATCCCAAAGGTGATTTTTTTTTTCAAGAGGCAACTGGACTTTCTGATTTTTCTTTGAAGACGTTTCGCTTCTCATCCCAGGAGCTTCTTCAGCTCTGACTGGATGGTGGGAAATGGAAGGATTGATACTCCTTGCAGACAGCTGGTCATTTGCATCCTTTTAGAGGGTCCTTGAAGCACTTGGAAGTTTATCCGTGTCCTCAGGGGGTCACCTGAGTGGTGCAAATGGTTCTTGTAGTCTGCAATTTTTTTCCCTCTGGGAATTCATTCCTTCTCCCACACCCTCTGAAAGGATGCAAATGGTGTGGGAGTAAGAATGGATTTCCAGAGAGAAAAATGGCAGACCACAGGAACAATTTTCACTACTCAGGTGAAAAAAAGAAAAGTTTTATTTGAAAAAAGCACTGAAAAAAAATGACCGTTTTTCAGAGTTACGACCTTTGTAGCGTTCCCCACAGTCACGTGATCAAAATTCAGACGCGCGGCAGCTGATTCGTATTTATGACGGTCCCAAGCTCATGCGGTCCCCTTTTTTGTGATGAGCAAAGTCAATGGGGAAGCCCGATTCACTTAACAACCGAGTTACTAACTGGTCAACTGCCGCGATTCACTCAGCGGCTGAGGCAGGAAAGGTCGTAAAACGGGGCAAAAAAACCCCGCTTAACAAATGCCTCGCTTAACGACAGAAATCTGGGGCTCGGCAGTGGTCGTAAGTCGAGGCCTATTTGTAGATAAGGTGGAGAGTGATCAGAATCAGTAAGCAGGATGCAGTTTTCTGGGGCAGGGGTCTCCAACCTCGGCCACTTGAAGACTTGTGGACTTCAATTCCCAGAATTCCTCAGCCAGCTTTGAAGCTGTTGAAGTCCACAAGTTTCCACAAGCAAAGTCCACAAGCTTTGCTGGCTGAGGAATTCTGGGAGTTGAAGTCCACAAGTCTTCAAGTGGCCAAGGTTGGAGACCCCTATTCTGGGGGACAGGAATGAATAGCAGAGAATGATCCGACTCCAAGATTTCTCCAGCGCTCTGACCCACTGCAAAAACAGGTTACAAAACCTCCCGAACAGAAAGGCCGAACGTCAGAACAAAGCGAGGCTTGTCTCAAAGTTTGGAAGCCGGTGCAATTTTTTCCCCGTCTTATAAAAAAATAAAAAATAAAATTCCCCAAATTCAAGAGGCCGGGGGCTAAAGTAGGATCGGCATAGCAATCTCAATCCCACGTACAGTACGCTGTCTGATTCCATCTTTTGGCACGGTAAAAAAAAAAACCTGGAGGAAGAATTCTAAATCGGGCCAGGAATTCAACCCCACCAGCTTCTCTCGATCGTTTCTGAAGCCGACCCTGTTTTTTTAAAAAGGTCTGAGAAAATCATAGGGGCCAGACAGACCTTCTAGGACCATGATAGCGAACCTACGGGGCACATGCCACAGGTGGCATGCGGAGACATGTCACCTGGCACGCCAGCTTTTAGCTCCGGGAGTCTGTGGAGGCTGGGGACAGCAGAAAACATCACTTCCTGTCCAACTGGAAGTTGAGAAATGGGCCGTTTGAGGCCTCCGGAGGACCACTGAGGGGGTGGGGAAGGCTGTTTTCGCCCTCCCCAGATGCATAGAGAGGATCTGGAGCCAAGTGAGAAAGAAAAACGGGCCATCAAGTGCCAAAAGCGGTGTGTGTGTGTGTGTGTGTCGCGCGTGCATGCATGGGGCAGGGTGCATAGAATTATGGGTGTGGGCACTCATGCGCACGAACCTCCTCTGCCCCCCCCATTCCTGGCACATGATGGCAAAAAGGTTAGCCATCGCTGTTCTAGGAAGAAAATTCACATCACGGGTCCGTAGAATCGGGGATGGTAATGAAGAGTTGGAAATTCCGCTCCTTGGCCAACGCAGGAATCCATATTGAATGTTAGTGCAAATAACGGTCATTAAAGGGGGATAAAAATTTAAATAAATGCCACCTCCACAGACATTTCTTCCATCGTTCAATAGTAAGACATTGTTCCTGAGCTCCAACTGAATCCTACGTCCTTCTTTCTTTCAACCCACTTGCTTCAGTCTCACAGACCAGGAACAAGACGCGGTAGCCTCCAGAAATATCAGCCCCACCTCAAGGTGAAGAGGTTGTGTTTCCAACACAACCGGGCCAGTTCACATCCAAGGACTTGGACTGTAGTGTTTCCAATTCTGTCGGTTTTCCAAACATACCTATTGGTACACCTTCAGGAAGCCAAAACTGGTCCTTTAGCTTCAAGGACCTGTTTTTTGGTCAACCGTGTCCGATTCTTGATATGTCCTACAGCCATGACATATGGCTACAGCTCAGGAATTCTGGGAATTGAAGGCCAGGAGACAGGAAGGGGTGGGACCAGCCAGCACCAAACTGGCCCGAACCGGCTGAATCCCACCACTGCCAATTTCCCTCCCCTCGCCTCCAAAACCTAAAATAAAAACAAATCTGGCATTTTTGACCTATTTTGTTCTGGTTGGCTGGGAGGGGGGGAGGGCGCTAACTAATGCTTCCTTTCGGAGTAAGTGATGAAGCCGCAGCCTGACCTTGGAACCTTTTTGTAAACGGCGGAAGGAACGGAAAGTACGCAGGGGTGTATTTCGCTGCAGACCAGCATGCTTCGCGCTTCCATTTCTTGGCTGGCTGCTGAGGCCCAGCAAGGATCCAAGCAAAGCCTTTTGGGCCTGACTTGGAGCAAAGGGTCTTGGGTGGGCCGGCCCGCTCTGCTCCTTCCCAATCCTGCAAAAAAGGGTGGGCTTTTTGCCACCAGCTGGGGTGGGGGTGTAATGTGCAATTAGCCACAGACAGTTGGAAACTGGAACTGCAGCTGCCAGGGCTTTGCTCTGTTCCAAGGCTGAATCAGAATATTTGTTGCCCGGAGCAGAATATATTCCAAATGGCACCCAGCACAAACATATGTTAACACATACATGCATGCACACACACACACACTCATTAGGACACTTGTTCACCCGTGCAGCGGAGGGGAGGAGGGTTGTGCAAGGGACGTTCCTCAGCCTAGCGCTTGGGGGTTTCTCCCCTCTCCCCTTTTCCTGCCTTTTGTGCCCTCCCCCCCAAATGCTCGACAAGCTCTGGCTCTGACGTTTCGCCCTGGTTTTTTTGCATGCGATGCAAGGTATGGAACCAGTGGTGGGATTCAAATCATTTAACAACCGGTTCTCTGCCCTAATGACCAGCTGGGTAGGCGTGGCTTGGTGGTCATGTGACCGTGTGGGTGTGGCTAACTCAATGTCACTCACGTTGATGTGTGCTTCGCCTTAGCTGTTACAATGTAATAAGGGTTAACCAGAGGCAGTTTCTGTAAGCAGGACAATAAAGATTAGGCTAGAAACACCACCAGAATGTTTCCTTCCTGCCTTCCTTACAAGATTAGCCCTGTAAAGTGGAAAAAAACAAAAGGAGATTTCTTCGAAACAACCGGTTCTCCGAACTGCTTAGAAAATGAACAACCGGTTCTCCTGAATAGGTGCGAACTGGCTGAATCCCACCACTGTATGGAACATTGCAAGGGTGGACAGGAGGAATTATTTCAGTGGCAGGTTCCTCTTGGCTTTCCCCCACGGATGTTTAGCTGTATGGGGATGGGTGGGTGGATCTAACTCAAAGCTCTGGAGGCTGCACAGGAAAGGTGGCTCTCCCAGGGCTGGGATTCAGCCGGTTTGGACCGGTTCAGGAAAACTGGATGTTAATTTTAATCTGGTTTGCCGAACCGGTAGTTGCAATGACTGGCTTACCCCGTCACCCCACCGCTCCCCTCACAGGAGTCTCCATGCAGCCCATTTTGGATGCCAGGCAAGTGTAGGGCCCATGCGGAGGCTCTGGGAGGGCAAAAAACAGGCCTACTGTAAGTTCCGGAAGTCCGGAAATGGGCCCGTTTCCGGCCTCTGGAGCCCAGGGGAGGCCGTTTTCACCCTCCTGGAGGCTCAAGGAAAGCCTCTGGAGCCTGGGGAGGGCGAAAACGCCCCCCCGCCGCGTTGCAGGAGGCCGAGTAGGCCACACCCACCATGGCCACGGCCAGCCAGCAACCGAACAGAGAACCGGTTGTTAAAATTTCTGAATCCCACCCCTGGTTCCACCTCCCACGAAAACTACCTGCTAGCAGGTTAATTGGAGCCAGCCTTGCGACAGCAGCTCCTGCCACTTGACGTAGGTTTGGGCAGCCAAGTTCTTCAGCTTGGTCCGGTAGAGGAGAGCGGGGTCCTCGCGGAGGCTGCTGCTGATGTGCTGCTGCACCTGGAGGCAAAGCTGCTGGAGGTGGCCCTGTGGAGGGTGGGGGAGAAAGAAAAGAACAGCGGAGACGAACCGTGTAAGAATTCATCAGGGAGCTACGGGAGAAATGCGACAGGAGCAAAGCTAACCTGGACTGAATATCAGGTGTTGCATTTTAGGGAATGGAGAAGGACTCAATCTGTGCCAGCTTGGTGAGGTAGTCCAGACAGGAAGCCCCCCCAGATGAACTACCGTATTTTTCAGATATTAGACACACATTTTTCCCTCCTAAAAGAGGCTGAAAATTTGGGTGCAACTTATACTCCAAATGTAATCCCGCGTGTGGTGCCCAAAATGGCTACCAGGAACAGCTGCTGCCTTCTCTTACTCCTTCCGTGCTTCGCCTGCTTTAGTCCCTGGAGCTCTCGCCGATGATCAGCTGTGCTTTTGAAGCTGTTTTTTTAGTTCCAACCAGCCCCAACCTCAAAACCAGCAAATGAACTAATGTTCTGAAGCTGACCAGGCTAAGGACGCTAGCCAGATGAATATCTGGTAGGCAGGATTTCCACCCTCCCCTAAGGTGCGCCTTATACTCCGGGGCGTCTTATACTCCGAAAAATACAGTAATTCTACTTTATTTTAAGGTTACATGAACAGAACCTTGCAAATCTGAAAACACATCTCTCCCACCCCCCACCTTTACAATCTAAGAAACTAGGGAGGGTCCCTTCTGAGATCTTTGCCAGGCCCTCATTCCTTCTGCGGGACACAGCTGCCACTTGTCTGGCCTCTTGTCAGGTATGCAGCTCTTCCTCCTGTCTCCCAAAGTCATTCCCATATTCCCATTACAATCTGAAATCCCCCCCGTCTCCCACCTGAGCCCTCTAGATGTGGCCGGCTGGCTACAACCCCCAGAATTCCTAGCCAGCATAGCTGGTTTCAGTAAGCGAGAGGAGCGTGGGTTTGGTACCTCACTTGCAAAGTGAAACAATGCACGAATTAAGGTGAATACTTGTATATGTGTTCCAGGTTCATATTTGCAGTGATCCAATCTGGGTTGGTCGCCGGGAGCAGAGGTTTTGTCTTTTGAGTTTTTGGAGTTGTAGTGGAGCCCATCCTCAAGAAACTTCTCTTTAGTAGAGTGTGTGTCTGCTAGAGAGAAGTAGTTCCTTGAAGATGGGCTCCCGCATGAGTCTGAAAGCTCAGACGACCAAACTTCTGGTCCAGGTGACTGATCCAGGTTGGATCCTGAAAGGATACGAAACAGAAATATTTGTGCTTTGGTTTTAACGAGCTGTCGAGAAAGGCCAAACTACCTGTTGTACACATCGCTCCAGTCACTCGACGTGCAGGACTGAATTAACTCATTTTCTGGGTTGAACTTGCACAGCTGGCCAAGTCGCAAAACCCTTAATTAAGCATGCCATTAACTTAACATTTGTGCTGTGATTGTAATTGCTATTGTTTTCCAGACCCGGCTAAATGTATTGTAAAGGTCTTAAGTAAGGGAACTTTAGCAGAAATATTTGTATCTCACGTGGGTTCTTGACCTCTTCAATTTCACTTTCTCTCTCTCTTTTTAATTTTACTTATTAAATCTGTGTATAGCCTTTCATCTCACAACTGGGACTCTGGATGGTGCACACAAGTCCTGTTTAAACAAATCTCCCATGGGAACATATGCGAGAGAGCATTTTCCTGCCCTCCACTCTCCTTCCTTTGGCTGGGTTCACACAACTGATGATGCCATAAATCTATGTTAAAAAGGTAAAGGTTCTTCCCGCACATATGTGCTAGTCGTTCCCGACTCTAGGGGGCGGTGTTCATCTCCGTTTCAAAGCCGAAGAGCCAGCGCTGTCCGAAGACGTCTCCGTGGTCATGTGGCCGGCATGACTCAACACCAAAGGCGCACGGAACGCTGTTACCTTCCCACCAAAAGTGGTCCCTATTTTTCTACTTGCATTTTTTACGTGCTTTCGAACTGCTAGGTTGGCAGAAGCTGGGACAAGTCACGGGAGCTCACCCCGTTATGCGGCACTAGGGATTTGAACTGCTGAACTGCCAACCTTTCGATTGACAAGCTCGGCGTCTTAGCCACTCAGCCACCGTGTCCCACAAATCTATGTTAACAAGCCATAATTGTGGCAAAGCCCCAATAAACCACATTCCACCTTCATGCAATGGCCTGGCATGCAATAAACATGCTAAGGTGCTGGTTGGCTTCCCAGCATGTGCTCAGCCGCAAACTCCCCAGCCCTGTTTGAGTCTAGACCAACATTTCCTGCGAGAGCCCTCTGTTAAGCGCCTCTCAGTCATTAGCTGCAAACTACAATGCCACATCAATTTTGCGCCTTCCCCCAAGACCCACAGATGCCCTGAGCCAGCATTTCTCCCCTTCGGTGAGTTGTACAAGCAAGCTGGCTCCAGTGAAGCTGTGAAAGGGAAATTTATGCTGCCCGCAAAATTGAGCATCTGCCAGGCTAAATGTCATGCACTGTGTACGTATTATTCCAATATATGGAATCCTATATGCATATATTTTCCTAACGTGAGATTTGCTGTCTAAAGTTGGTCTGAACACAGCCTTTTATTTTCCGAGGGTAGTTTTCCTGCTGTCTCCTGACCCTGGTCCCCCATCTCACCTGCTCTCTTGGAGATGCTGGCTTGATTCCCACAACCACGTTGGCTAATACCAGGAGGTTGTAGCAAAGGTAACAGGCCTACAAGCGAGAGAGAAAGAAAGAGATCAGTTAAGCAGAGAGGCAGATGCTCCTGCGGACTTCGTGTCTCCTTCCCTTTTGGGGCAGTCAGTGGTCCAACCCTCCCAACAGTCATCTAAGCTAAGGAGATGGAGCAGCAGGTCCCCCATATCTCATTTCTGGCACCCAACATCTTTGGTTCCCAGCCATCCTTTGACCACAGGAGGGGAAAATGGAATACCAGTTGTCTGGCAACCAGCTATCTCTTGGCCCACTTCTTCTGGGCAGCACCCCATCAGTGGCTTACTCTGAAGGCCCAAGGAAAGCATCAGGGGTGGGCTTCAAAAATTTTAGTAAGGGGTTCTCTGCCTGGTTGCTGGGTGGGTGTGGCCATGGTGGGCGTGGCCTAGTCGGCTTCTTGCACCAAGACGGGTGGTGGTAGTGGCACTTTTGCCCTCCCCGGGCTCCAGAGGCATTTCTTGAGCCTCTGGGAAGGCGAAAATGGCTTCCCCAGGCTCTGGAGGCCCTCTTTCCGGCCTTCCTGAATTTCTGGTAGGGCCGTTTTTCGCCCTCCCCGAGCCTTCGTGTGCACCCTGCACTTACCTGCATCCAAAACGGGCTGCGTGGGGACTCCTGGGAGGGGCAGGATCAGCCAGGAGTGGGATGTGGGGGTTCTCCGAACTGCACAGAATCTTAGCTAGAGGTTCTCCCGAACCCCTGTGAACCCCCAGTAGCCCACCCCTGGAAAGCATGGAAAGAACCTGCTTGATGTTCAGATAAAGCAACTTCGGAGTGGTGTGAAACTCTTGGGTCAATATTTTCTTTAACCCAGGAGTGGAAATCTTTTTGGCCTGGGGATCATGCTTTCTGTAGGTGCCTACTCTGGTATGTGTGTCCATGGGGGGTTGAAGGGTATAGGGGGTCTGCAACTAGGCCAAGAATGCCCCCCTTCTATCTCACTTTTGTGTGTTCTGAATGGCATCTGCATTCTGCTCTCCCCCATCTTGCATCCTTGGCAATGGGAAGTGTTCTCCAAGCTGCACAGCTTGGTAAGGATGGGGGAAATGAATCTACGGCCAATCATAGTCCGGGATGGACTCTCTCTTCGTTTCTTTAGCCTGGACCAGTGTTTCTCAACCTTGACCATCAAACTGGTTGGGGAATTCTGGGGGTTGAAGTCCAGAATTCAGAAGAATGGGACAATCTTCAAGTTGCCAAGGTTGAGAAACGCTGGTCTAGAGCAGGGGTCTCCAACCTTGGGAACTTTTAGGACCTCCCAGGATTCTGGGAGTTGAAGTCCACAGGTCTTAAAGTTCCCAAGGTTGGAGACCCCTGCTCTAGAGGAGTAAAGGTAGAAGAAAGGGAATGATGCTGTCACGATGGTGGTCAACTACAAGAGGTTAAGATCAAATTGATGGAGGACCAGAGAGCTGGAGTCCCACTATTCACTAGACATCATTGGACTACTCAATCCCAGCTTAGACTAATCCGATGAGCTGCGTGTGATTCCAACTACTTGGAGAGGGTGAGGACAGCTCATCCAGAGACAAAGATTTGGAGATGTGATTCGGCTGCTGGCACCACTCAAGAATGATCCCGGGGGCAGAAGAGTCATGGAACTGACTAACATTGGCTTCTCTCTCAGCCATGTCCACCTCACTGGGGTGTCGCTGTGGAAGGAAGCATCCCCACCTTCGTTAAGCTGGGGATGAAAAGCTAGTACATCAGTAAGGGTCTGGTGGCTCAGCAGACTGATAGCATTGTGATTAACACCAGCTGTCTGCAATTACTGTAAGTTCGAATCTCGGCAGGCTCAAGGTCGACTCAGCCTTCCATCCTTTCTAAGGTAGGTAAATTGAGGACCCAGTTTGTGGGGGCAATAAGCTGACTCTGTATAAATATACAAAAGGATGAAGGCTATTGCTTAGCGCATTGTAAGCCGCCCTGAGTCTCCGGAGAAAAGTAACAGATGCTGCCAAGCTTTTATTTGTTGAATTTATGCAAAACGAATAATCAAAATATATTTCCGAGAACAAGGTCAAGATGTTCTCAAATCAGACTCCAGTCCCGATAACTTCATGGACACACAACTCACAACTTTCTTGTTAGCATCATGAAAGGGACTTGCCTTTTTAGTTTTCCAGTCTGGCCTCCCACCCAAAGCTTTCCGGGCACCCCCCACCCATCCAAGGCCTGGCCTGACCTGACCTTGCTTAGCTATCCAAACCCAAACAGGTTCAACTGAAGCCACGTAGACCCAAAACAAGATAGATAAGGGGAAGCCTTGAATAGCATTCTGGCCTGTGTTTATTCTTTATTTAAGAGGACGGGGAGGCTGCCCCGATTTCACGACTGCACAAATTGTACGCGAGCAGATCTATGCAGATGAATAACTTCATGCCGAAGGGGAAAAAAAATATACAAATAATAATTAAAAATGGCAGAAAAGCTCATGCTGATAGAGGTGCACCAAAATACTCCAGGCCTGGAGTCTGCAATCTGAGGCTCTGGAGCCGCATGTGGCTCTTTCATCCCTCTGCTGCGGCTCCCTGTCACTCAAAATATGTATCACAACCGCCAATGTGCGACACCCGCCAGCACATGATTTATTGAGCTTTTCGACCCATCTTTTTTTTTTTTTTTCCCCCGGAGTTCAAAATGTTTTTGTTGCGCGCAGAAATAAAAATGTGTTTTCTCTGAAGCAGGTCATTGATTTAATAAATGCAACACACTATCGTTTTTTTTTTATAAAGGTAAACAAATAACGATATATGCAGCGTTATCTTCATTTTAGATGTCAAAAGGGTTTTTGTGGCTCCCGGTGTTTTCTTTTCTGTGGGAAACGGGTCCAAATGGCTCTTTGAGTGTTTAAGGTTGCCGACTCCTGCTTTAGGCCCAAACAATGACTAACTGGTCTAGAGATGATAGGAGGTGTGTTTTTATGTGGGTTTGTCTGAAACAGGCTAGAATTCTAGATAATCTCCACAACCTGGTAGTCCAAGGGATGGCGCAAGGGTTGTGCTCCCCATCGACTTTCCCTCACAGAAACTTTCCCATCACCCTGGGCTGAATCACGAACCATTTCTCAACAGACCAGTTTTTAATTTTAATTATCCCTACGCAGGTCAGCTTACGATAGCTCTAATCCCAAGAAGGCTATCCCAGATCCTAAGTGTTCAGTTCAGTCATGAAGAAAGAATATATTTTTTTCCTCCAATGGAGTGGAACAAAAATGAACACTTGCTCTCTGCAGATTTATAGCCATTCGCAAACTGGGAATTTTGAAGTTGGTGTTTTCTCTCTCTTTTATATGTTTTTATGCGTGTGTGTGTATATACCAGTATATATATATCTATACATGCATATGTATACATAACAGTAACAGAGTTGGAAGGGACCTTGGAGGTCGTCTAGTCCAACCCCCTCCTCACACAGGAGACACGTATTAGGGATTTGAACCGCCGAACTGCCGACTTTTCTGATCGACAAGCTCAGCGTCTTAGCCACTTGAGCCACCTAGTTCAGGGGTGGGCAACTATGGCCCTTTTATGACTTGTGGACTTCAACTCCCAGAATTCCTGAGCCAACCATCTTAGCTCAGGAATTCTGGGAATTGAAGTCCACAAGTCATAAAAGGGCCATAGTTGCCCACCTCTGATCTAGTTGATTCTCTGGAAAAATTCTTACTATTTATACATTAGAGAATAAGATTTTTTTCCAGAGAATGAAACATATATATTTAAATTATATATAATTATATACACATACACACAAAAAAACTCACACGTATATATGTATATATATACACAGACACAGACATGTATATATTTTTTTTCCCAGGGAATGAAACATCAAGACAGTGAGACTGAGAGAAAAGGAAGGAAGGGAGGGAGGAGAGAGAAAGGGAAGGGAGAGAAGGAAGGAAGGAAAAGAAAGAAGGGAGGGAGGGAGGCAGGAGACAGACAGGGAAGGGAGAGAAGGAAGGAAAAGAAGGAAGGAAGGAGAGAGAGAGAAAGGGAAAGGAGAGAAGGAAGGAAGGAAGAAAAGGAAGGAAGAAGGAAGGAGGGTGGAAAGAGGGAAGGAAGATAGAAAGGAAAGAAGGAAGGAAGGAAAAGAGAGAAAGAGTGTTTCTCAATCTCAGCCACTTTAGGATATCAATTCCCACAGTTCCTTAGCCGGTCAATATCACCCAGTCAATATCATCTAATTCAAGACGTCCAGCTGGGCACCTCAGTTAGTACAGTATAATTATTCCTCCAGTGGAAATTAGAGGGTGCAAATTAGAATGAGATGCCAAGAGAAAGTGGCTGGTTGAAGGCCACCCAGAGAGTTGGCTTGTTCCAAAACGAGAGAGCCGCAGAAACTAAATATATCTCGGCTCCGGTTTATCTACTACCCTGGACGCCATCTATGGCTCAAGGTTCTTCTACCTGTTGTTTTCCTATCTTTCAGTTAAAGGATTTTAATTATCCGGCTGGCAGGCGATTGTATGACGTTCTTGGGGATAAGCTGGAACATCTATAATTCTAATTTTTTTTTATTAAAAAAAAATTCGAGCAAAATCTTGGCTCATTAACTTAAAGCTCTTCCTGGCAAATGCTAGGTGGTAGACACGAGTATTTAATAAAAATTTACCGAGGAGCGAAGGAGTAAATATCATACCTAATTGAGTATAAAACAACCGAATATTTCATAGGGGAGAAAATGGAACGATGCCCAGCAATGTAATTGGTGGGAGGGGGGGGGAAATACGAGGCTATAAAATGGGGGAGAGAAGGGTGGGAGGTGTTTTCTAAGTTTCACACCAGAACAAAGGCTGATTTCGTGTTTTGGATGTCGGCGGAAGACTTGGAGAATTTGAAAGCAAGAGTGGATCTACGGAAAGCTGCAAAGAAGCTATTCCCATGGCCCTGTTGGAGCCGGAGTCCGCAGAGGACGACGAGCCGGAGCTGGGGCTGACGACGGTCGAGTGGGTGAACTTGTTGGCTTCGGAGAAACGCGGGGAGGAGCAGGACGAGGCA